ACTTTTGATTCATTTGATGTATACCGTACTCGGGTTTTGAGAAATACTCGAATAGTGTGCATACCGCGGGCGGCAGCAGAGGGTTAAATGATATTTTTAACGGAACCTTTGTCGGGTACGAAACCTTTTTTTGAATGATTTCTAAAAGGTTTTGTACGAAACCATTACTACGAAACCCTTTTTTTGAATTTTCGTGAAGGGGGTTGATACGAAACATCACTTTTACAAAACAAAAAAGGATCTGACGGTGTACCGAGGATAAGAACCTTTTTTAGGTTCTGTAAAAAACCTATTTTTTTAGAGTGTAGCTTAAAATTTGTTAAAATAAAGTTTTCTATCCGGTTATCTATAAGCGAAAGATGAAAGCAGACGATTCCGTCTAATTCTTTCCATTTTTATGATAAAGTCAACTTACCATCTGCGAGTTCTTTTTCCGCAAGCATTGCTCCTTTCGGAAGAAGGTACCGAGCTATTTGTTTATCATCTTCGTCTTTAGCCAGCCAGCGGTTACATGNAGTTTTCTATCCGGTTATCTATAAGCGAAAGATGAAAGCAGACGATTCCGTCTAATTCTTTCCATTTTTATGATAAAGTCAACTTACCATCTGCGAGTTCTTTTTCCGCAAACATTGCTCCTTTCGGAAGAAGGTACCGAGCTATTTGTTTATCATCTTCGTCTTTAGCCAGCCAGCGGTTACATGGAAATTCATAAGTACGATGATCCTGTGTGTCCTCAATCAGTATCCGATCAAGGAACCAACCTGATGAGAGACCTTTGTTATTATGCTCAATCAGAATCTTATTGATTTCACCAACCGCCGGACATTCAACTGTGAATTCGTCTTTCCTAAACGTAGAAGTTTACTGCTGCTAGAAAATACACGGATGCGCTTACTTTCCAGCTTCGAAAGCATCTGTTTTGTTATCAAGTTTAGTCTGACCGGTCTGTCCTTGATTGCCGAAAAGAGTAATGAATACATCAGCATCGGTTCCAGCACCACTTTTGTTTCCGGTGAAAACTGTCACTTTGTATAGATTGTTTCTTACTTTTTGTCTTGGCACAAGATAACGAGCTATTTGTTTATCATCTTCGTCTTTAGCCAGCCAGCGGTTACATGGAAACTCATAAGTACGATGATCCTGTGTGTCCTCAATCAGTATCCGATCAAGGAACCAACCTGATGAGAGACCTTTGTTATTATGCGCAATGAGAATTTGATTTAATTCGCCGATGTTTTGACATTCAATGGTGAACTCATCTTTTCTATAACACAAATTCGTAGGGTGTCGGGAAAATGTCAGAGAGCTTACTTTCCAGCTTCGAAATTATTTTCTTGATTGGCAAGTTTTGTTGGTCCTGTTTCACCTAACTTCCCATAAAGTGTGATGAATACGTCGGAATCGGTTCCAGCACCACTTTTGTTTCCGGTGAAAACTGTCACTTTGTATAGATTGTTTCTTACTTTTTGTCTTGGCACAAGATAACGAGCTATTTGTTTATCATCTTCGTCTTTAGCCAGCCAGCGGTTACATGGAAACTCATAAGTACGATGATCCTGTGTGTCCTCAATCAGTATCCGATCAAGGAACCAACCTGATGAGAGACCTTTGTTATTATGCGCAATGAGAATTTGATTTAATTCGCCGATGTTTTGACATTCAATGGTGAACTCATCTTTTCTATAACACAAATTCGTAGGGTGTCGGGAAAATGTCAGAGAGCTTACTTTCCAGCTTCGAAATTATTTTCTTGATTGGCAAGTTTTGTTGGTCCTGTTTCACCTAACTTCCCATAAAGTGTGATGAATACGTCGGAATCGGTACCAGCACCTGATTTGTTTCCTGTATAAACTGTTATTTTGTAATAATTACCTATAAATAAACGGAAACAGATTTGCCCAATGAAACAGTTTAAATTGGTTCCATACTTTTTTGTGTCGTGCTCTGTTGCTTATGCAATGTAAGGTCGCGAGATATTTCTCGATCCCCTTCATCTTTAGCTAACCATTGATTACATGTTGCTACGTATTGTGTTTTTGGTTCAAAAAGATCTGTGACAACAATCTTCAATAAAGAAATACGAATATAGTCGCCTATTGAAAAATTTAGAAATTCGCATCTATACTTTATCAAGGAACCATCCTGATGATTGGCCACTGTTATCATGTTCAATGTGAAGTTTCATCAACTCACCAATATAATCCCCGTTTACGCGGAATTTATCTACTTGCTTGCGTTCAAATGGATCCTTATTGTTAGAATTTTTCAAAGGAATTTTTCCGGTTTGTTTTCCATTTTTGCCAAATAGTGTTATACTAACATTACTGTCCGTGCCGGCTCCTCTTTTATCACCGGTATATACTAGTATTTCGTACGAAGTCACTAAAGAATAAATAATAGCATTGTTTTGAATGAAATGATTTGTTTTAGCATTGTAAACGAAAGTAAAACGGATTAAGAAATTTGTTTTTCTTTCTCTACTCGAAAGTTTCTTTCTTATCAGCCACTGAGTATTGAATGATTTCAAGTGAAAAAATGAAAGCGTTACGGTTCTTACCAATAAAGATTAGCGGTATAGGCGACTGATTGTATTAAATTATCGTGAGAACATCGTTGCGATTAAAGCCGTGTTCGATGACTACTCTTTCAATGATAATTTCGCTATCGTTTAGATTCATCTCAAGAGGAAAACGTAGTTATATAATTCAAAATTAAGGAAGCATCAATAATAAGAAAACAAGCACCAGACCATTTGAAAAATTAGCAACAACACAATCGAAAAGCCACGATATATGGAGGCATAATTCCTTTTTTTATATATTGGCTCAGAAAACTTCGTTTACGATGTGTCTTGCACTCAACAACGACAAGCACTAACTGTAGCTCTGCGCATTCTTGAGGGTTTCTGTCTGAAAACATAAGAAATCAATTTATCATTGTAATAGGTACACTTTCCTCGATTAGGAATATTATTGTTGTCACATGATTGCATTTAGTTGAGATTCATCAGTTATTTTCTGTCGATTTCTGCTAGTGTATTATCTATCGAATCGTTTTCTATGAAAGCAATAGCTTTTTACAAAAATTGAGAATTAGAATTTATTTCTAAGCCAGTGAGATCTGCGACTAGAACTATCACTGTCCGTTTATATTAAGATCATAAATTGTGAATCATATGTGCTTCTATTTTTCTTCTGCGTATTTATGCTCGGCGTCTGAAAATACAAAGACATGGTTTCACTTCTCTCGTATAATATATATCATCGCATGTACAATTGAATTGATTCCTATTCAACACCGTCTAGAAAATGTTTTTAGCCATACCTAACAGGGACTACGCGTATTTGTGGGAAAATTAGATACCACCAATAAATGCTTGCACATACTGTTACTCAGACTATCTGAAGTAAAGCAGTAATTTGAATAGTTGTCGCACCTATCTGTTACTCGTTACATAATTTTGTTGATGGTAATCTAATCGCGAAGCATCTCGTGAATAACACGTTTTTTTGCATGTCAAAGTCAGACTTCTGATTGCTGTTTATCAGAGTTCCAAACATTCCACATCGGGTGCGGACTCGACAATCTCTGCTGAACTGATACAAATCTATTTTTAAGCAAAGTCACATTTATACCCAGGACAGTTCAGTTCACAGAGCTGACAATACCAAGCAGGGTTGAAAAATATTCTTACTATATGTTCAGCCAATTTAATGATTCTTGAACGTGAGCCGAATGTTTTTGCAGATAACAGTTGTGCGTTTGTCGGAAATGCTTCAATTCTCTTAAGTGAAAGTCTCACCGTACAAGAGAAACGTTGGTATGTGTGAATATAGATAAGATGCAGTGCTTCCGCTGAGAAGTTATAACTCTCGTAATAAACAATCTAAAACAAATCATGAATTAGATGAATGGATACTTTGTCTTTCTTCTTCGGATGCTTTGATATGCCTCGTCATGAAGCCAGTCTTTGGTATAGTACAATTATGCAAAACATTTGAATACGGAAAACAATGTATTTAATCTATTCGTTTATCAGTCCCGATAACCTGCTGTGATTAGTATCTGTCGAAAGGAACGTACGACAACATTACATGCGAATTGATGAATCGAAACTTATGTAGCAGAACACGCTCATTTATAATATTTTAAAACCCATAATGTATCATATTTGCATCGCATATGAAGTTCTCTAACAGTTTCTTAATTAAAAGTAGGATCCAAATATGAAAATAATTTCATTTGTGTCTTTGAAATAAAAAAGAAGTTCAACAATTTTTTTATTTTGGCGCACGTTGAAATACAGTTTAAGACACAGTAGAAATTTGGATCGATACTGCACTCCCGTATGATTATTTTTTTTCTGCACGCAAATGAAGCATTTATACGATTTCTGAAAAACGTGTGATAGATATATATTTTGATTGAAAACTTTACGTAGCGTAATTTGATGAGTACAGTTGAGCACTTAAAAAGGTTTAGACTATTAAGAAATCTCATTCTTTACACGTGTCTTGGCGCTGGCTCCTGTCGACGAAGATCTTTTATCAGTTCTTAGCAATTTTTCTCATCTATCTCATGCTCTTTCTTGTATTCTATTGAAATATTTGCTATTTTTTCAGTGTCTAGTCGGAGAGATGCCACTAGTGCATGTCCGTCGCTCTTGATAGATGCGCATAATTCAGCATGGGCTCCATATACGTTGACGTGACAACCATAAGACTTTTGACTACCGAGGGAGCACTTCCAAGTGACATCAATCATTCGGACTCATACTTTGCTCTTAAGTAAGATCTATGGAAAATAGAAAAGATCTAATGGAACGAAATCGTACAGGCCTTTTCTGTTCTCAATGAATCTTACTTATGAACAAAGGATGAAACAGAGTGGTTGATATCACTGGAGAATGCTACATTGTGAGACAGAAAGTTAGATATTACTTCATTAGAATTATAAGAATGTATATTTTGTTGCTGCTCAAGAATATTTGGGATACACTAAAATGTGTAATATCAACTTTTTCTTCAATTCATTATTGTCGACTATTATTAGCTCTAGTAATAATAAACTGCTATTAAGACACTTATTCAACGTCTCTCAATTTACGACATGTGCTCAGTTGTCAATAAGTGAGTCATTACAATCTCATGAAAGCCCGCCTTTCTCTTTATTGTAGCATATACAAGGGATGCTCCACATGCTGTGAAATAATCTTAGAATTCCTATCTTTTGCATTTAACAAAATTAATCTTCAAATACATTGTACATTGGGTAAAAACTAGAATCATTATTACCATGTAATCGTTTTTCAGTTTGTTCATCATCTTTTTCGATCTTTTCAAGAAAAATGTAAATTTTAAAATAAGAGACAGTTAAGTGCAGTTTCCATTTCCGTTCTCAGAAATCAAGAATCTAAGTGGCCCGAAACCTGGGCAACAGTAATATACAGTACTACTTGTTCATTCAATTTGATGAATAAAACATGCTTCATAGTTGTTCATGAGCTTCTTTTTTTGCTAAGTATATTCTGATTTTTTATCTGACTGTTACCAGAAAATATATTTTTTCGATGAAAATAGCTACTTTCTCATTTGATCATATATAAGTACTCACCGACCAAATTTCAAAATTGCTTAAAAACGTCGAATTTTCGATGCTGCAACATTGAATAAATACAGGATTACCGGCTTAGCATTAGTATTAATAAAATGTTAATGCTTTTTCTTATTACAATTACATAAACATTAAACTAACGGTAATATTTAAATTTTCTCCAGATAGAAGAAAAGTATTCTGTTATAGCAAGGGGTGGCATTTTAACTTAAGTCGCTTAAAATTACGTGGTTAATATAACAACTATTTAATTAAATTTTTGATTTCATATCTGACACTTTTAGTACAACAGCTAACGAGAGTTTCATAGATAACTGTTTTCATGTTCTATAATTTTATGAGAACTATATGGGATAGTCTCTATGAATATTTTAATTTCGGCGTGTAGTAATGCTTAATATACTAATAATACTAATAGCATTGTTTATCAGTAGGTATAAACCATTCCTGTCATACTGAGTGCCCCATTCAACTTCGTTTTAAGCAGATGTCGTACTTAAGTTATACTTTCAAAAGTTTAAATAAAAGTAGCCCACTTTAATACTTCAATTTTAAAAAAGCAAAATAAGGATATGCTGCCTACTAGTCGTTTGAACAATCGCGCGAAGAGCAATGGTCGGCATTTACACAGAAAAATTTCGTACAACGCTATTCAGAAATCTCTGTCGCTACTAGAAATTCATAAAAACTTCCTCTGCTTCATCCTTCAACAACAGAAAGGCTTTTTGAGAAAGTAACCAAATCTCATTGGATTTAACCAAAAAATAGCAAAGTAGAAGAATTCGAATTGACTAATAAAGTTTCGAAATCTTAGAATCGATTTTCTGTCAAGAAAGTATTTTCGAAAAAAGAATGGAATTTTACAAGATCTAACCGAAGATAAATAATAAGGGTTACATAGCCATACTCTCACATCGATTTCACAGGATCATTGGATATCTGTGTACTGTATAAATTTTCATCGTTACGTGAGGTACATCGTCATTTGGAGACACAAATTAGAGCGGTGGCCAAGAGCACGAAGACTGTTGAAGTCGCCCGTGACAGGTATATATGAGTGAGAGTAATCGAACTTAAGGCACAACAGCACTTTTCTGCTCACACCCGATACCTATACTGAAGCCTAAGCCACCGCACTACACAGATCCACTCACAACTGCATCCGGACCGTGGCCTACCTATTCAAAGACACACCCAGCATAAGAAAATAAAGAAAATAATGATACAAAAGCTTAAGTTAAATATTTTTTCTTATTAACTACTAGCATCGGAACACTCGATGTTGTTGAAAAATGTAAATACCAAAAGAAAACATAGTTAAAAAACTTTGTCAACGCCCTGCTTCTGCACTCATCAATACTTTTCCGTTATCTCTAACAAAAAATTATTTCTTCTTCATGAGAAAAGGCTTCCTATTTTTAATTCATCTCACTTTTCAAGTAATAAAAGCTTTTATTACATTTATCTTTATTGCATGAAAACAGACTTTTTATTGTCAATCATTACTTAGTAGACAAATCAATAAAGATAAGCCAAAGAGTCTCATTTGAAACTCCTGCTATGAGATTCAAA